AAACCAAAGATATGAGGTGCCATATAAAGCGGTGTCAGCCTTAGAGATACTCCATAGTATCCAAAAGACTGCTAAATGAATATTGAATATTAAATACTCAATAGGTAATATAATATGTAATAATACTATTTAATAAAACAATATTTCATAAGAATATAAAGGGGGTTGCTCACTGGATGTATCCCCAAATTCCTACTCCTTCAAGGACTTTGTATATATTCAAAACCTTGAAGGACAAAAGGAATAAAACATACAAAAATATAGAATGAAATCAATGTATATTAAATTAGGGTTAAATATACATTTAGGGTAACCTTAGAAATTTTATTCTACAAGCATAATCAATTTATTAAAACTTGTAGAAAAGAAATTACCACACTATGTCAAGAGTGTGGCACTTTCTACTAGTAATATTCTATTTAAGGAGACACATGATTTAATTGGCTATAAACATGCATCATGATGTCATGGGACATAGAATATACATTATTTGAAATACCTTGAATTATTCCCATTACATCAGGGGAATAATTCTACCATGGTATACTAAAAGAGAGATTCTAGAATATTCTAAGGAGGGCCTCAAGGGGACCTCTAGAATATTTAAGGAGGCCTTCCCCTGCCTAGGATTGTTTCCTCAGCATTTTCACCCCCAGTACACTTAGTGAGTACAGTGAATATTCTCCACCTACTTTTAGAGTAGTCTTTTTATCCAATCCAACCCTACCTTCTTACTGGAATTGTTATTAAGCTAAGAGTTATCCCAGACTCAACACTTAATTAATTCCTTAAAAAGTAGTTGCTGCAAGACCACCACCTCTTACTGTAGCCTTTCAGCTCAGGTGCTTGCCAGCTACTTCTTGCATATTAATTATTGCTTCCAACACTCTGCAATAACTTATTCTGTTATTGTCTCCTACAGGCTCTCTTGATTATTCAAGTGTCTTTAACTGAGGAGTGTGGACTTTTCAACCTCTTAAGTGGGAAGTTTGGACCACTTAATACTTTGAGGGTGACTAGGAGTAATCTTGGTCTTTAACCTGAGTCCTTCAGCACAGTGATAGTACTTGGCTCTTATATTATTAAGCCAAAGTTTCATACACATAGCTGACAAGCGGAGTCATCACTTCACTGGTGAATGACTTGACTTTCTTGTAAATTATTCTGACATTGATAGGTGGGGTTCCTGGATATCCTTCTCCATATCTTCCTGGATCAAGCTGTATCAGTTGGGAATTAGATGTACAATTTGCTAACTTTAAGGGTGTCTTCAATCAGCCCTTTGACAAGCTTCCAGGAGCTGCACTAGATCAAACCTTTGTCAATATATGGGGGGTAATATATGGGGGGTATTCATTTTTCCATAGAGAATTTGTTTACCTTTCCTCAGACATTGAATCAGTAGAAGAGGAATCCTGTGATCTATAAATGGAGCACTG